CTAGAAGGGAAGAAACACTCTGGGCATAGTTTGAAAGTGTAAGTACAACAGAATAATTGTGCAGATCTTCCAAATAGCTCTGGGTTTTTTTCTTCAGACCCTGCAGTTTTCCTTTTGTTACTGTTGTAATAAATATTCTGGCACTTTGGTGACAAAGAAAATCAAGCAAATATTGGTCTATTGATATGAAAGGAATACTGAGCTGCAATCTTGAGTAGTCACACAAGATGTGACTCCCCTGCTGCTTCTCCTCTTATTGGAAAACTAGAAAAAAAATGGGGTTTTCAAAATGGTTTTAGCAAATATTTTTTCAAAGCAACCATTTAGGATCCATAACTTTCATCAAACTATATACAAATTACTACTTCACAGATTCTTTTGTTTAGTAAGTGACAATATTAAGTTGCAGAAAACTGAAGCTTCAGGTGAATTAGGAGTCCCAGACAATGAGAAAATATTCACACTTCAGTTAAGTAAGTTTGATGGGATTCAGGGGAATACCCTTTGCCTTTGGAAAACCCAGTGCAAGGAGTTTGCAGTGAAGTAGGTGTGACTGATAGCAAAATATATATACACATATATATATATAAAATAAGCTTTGTTGAATGGAAGTGGCAGGGAGGGGTAGAAGAGTTGAAGGAGCTTAAATTCTTTTCCCTTGGTCTTGGAAAAAAGCATCCAAGTTTTCTGTGAGGGAAGGAGATTGATGTGGGCTGGAGATAATTGTGTCTTTGACCTATGCACTGGATTTCTTCATCTGGGCTTGTGAATTGCAAAAGTTGAATTCCTTTTGAAACCTAGTTAGGAAGTACCTCCTGAGAATGAAATAATGTGAACTAGAGCCCTGGTTTTGTTAGAGCAGTGCTGGGAGGGTGACTTTGTTTCGTGTAATTGCTTGGGGACCTCTGTCTGATCTCTTCACTTGGAGCTGATACTCGAGGCTTTAACTGATCGAGGCTCCTCTGGAAGTGGTGATGGTTTTGTATCATGAGATTCATTTCTAGAGCTCAGTATCTTGGCCTTTGTCTCATGGGAAAATTGATTTTACACCCCTGCATACAACCCTGCCGACAGCAGCACTTACTGGTGCCCCTCTAGCCTGGAGATGTGGCATGTCCAGGATGAACTCCCCTTTCCAGATGGTTCAAATGCGGGGCTGATCTTTGTCCCTTTCTAAAATCCACCATGCCAAGGGTGTGGACAGCCCAGATCTCAAATCCAAGAAAATAAGATTGGCAGCATAGAAAAAAAAAGAATAAATCACTATGTTGCTGGTTTTCTCACTTTCCTCTTTGAGTTGTTTTATGAGCATATTACTAATTCTTCTTAAACTCAGGATTGTCACAGAATGTGTGAACTCCTCCTGGAGATGAAGTGAAAATCAATGACAATTCCTTGCTTGAAGTCATGTTTCAACTTCGAGATGGCAATTCCAGGTGCTGCAGATTTAGAGGGATGACAGAAATCTTGAAGGGGTTTGGGTTGATTGTTAAAAATAAGGAAACCCATGTGGGAAGGGAGCAGGCAGAATAAAGGGCAGATCAGGCAAAATAATGCCTACGAATAGCGGCCTGTCTTGTACACGTCTCAAAGCCCAGCCTAGTGCGTGAGATCAGGGCAGATGGGAAATGCAGGGTACTCTGATCAGTAAAGGTTATCAGGAGAGAAGGATTTGAGCGATCCTGTGCTGAAAGGAGTCTTGGCGTGAATGAAACCATCTGTGGAGGTTTAGCAACCGAGAGCCTTTCTGCTCTCTCGTGTCAATCTTCTTTAAGCAGCTGCTGTACAACCCTGCTCTTGCCAGTTTTCATCTCTGCTGCTGTGAAATGTGGTGCTTTGCTGGTGCTTGTAAAACTGCTTTTCACTGAAGGAAAATCCTTTGTATCGATGAGACAACAGAGGTTTATTTTTAAATTCCTTGAACCTTCTGTAGCTGAGGAAACACAGAACAGTTTGGTTTAGTCATGATGCTGTTCACTACTCAAAAGCAGGTGCAAGGAAAGACAAAAGGAATTCCTGCAGAAGGAGGAACCCAGTGAGAGTATCTGTCTATTATTATTTCTGTTTATTTGTCTATCTGCCTCCTGTTGCAGGAGGGAAGTAACTGATGCTGGTGGTAGAGCTTTTCTTAGAGCCTGCTTCAGGAAAATGCAGTCTTGTATTTTGGGAGAGTCGTTGCTGATCTTGGATCTTTGCAATCCTCCTTTGTGTTTTACACTCAGGCTGTTATTGCAAACACAGCCTGGTTTAAAATAGAAATTATACAGAACTGGTTATGAAGTACATGGGTTTTGTTGGATCAGGGTTGGATGTCCTGGGGTTTTTTTGGTTGTTTTCCTCTTTGACTTGCTTTCCTTTGGCAGCTTTCATGAAATAGAGGACTCGTCAGGACAAGTCCAGGGTCTTGTGCATTTATCATGGGGTGTTGGCTGCCTGTCATCACGTGGCTGCTGCAAGTTTAAGTGATGGCATGAGCTTGAGTCTCCAGCCAGATTCCTTTAGTGACCTGCCTTGGATTTAATCTGAAAGGATTCTGTCTGCAAAGCATTTACATTCCCTTGGGATTTGTCAGGATGATGACAAGGTATTACTGCATGTCTTATAATGATATCTGCAGTAACAAGCCAGATAAATAGAAATGCTCCCTGCAAGTGGAGATGAAATCCTGTCTGAGAGTTACATGTTGCCTCCTGAGGAAAAGTATTTAAGTGGAAAGACCATACAATGAGTATTTGAGCTGATCCCTTTGATCACGTTGACATTCCATATATCCACTGTTTCTCCTTCTCTTTGAGACCATGGGATGCTATTTCCCACACCCCAGTGTGGAGCACTGGCAGAGAAGAGGCTGCTCTGAGTGCCTGGCACTGGAAGGTACATTTTTGTCAAGGCAGAACTGATTAAAAGTCACTAATGATTAATGTATGATTTGCACACTGAGCATTCATTGTTGGGGCTGAAATCTCTCCTATTTGACTTCAACCTGATGGAATATTCTCAGGGACATAAAGCAAAACTACTTTAGTCCTTTTTGCAGTGAAAGGATTTAAATCAAGAAAGATTTTCCAGCTGCTGAAAAATGGAGACCACCTATTGTTGATCAGGTTTCTTTAGACCAACAGTGTTTTAGAAGGGAAGGTTGGGGGTTTACATTGAAAATTATCAAGCCTGAGTTTAAAGAAAAGTAACTTTTAAGATAAGGCTTTCTGAATAGTTGTCCTCTGTAATATATATAATAATTTGTAGCGAACAGATTAATAATGTGAAGCTTAATCAGGCAACACAGTGTCAGTTTTTAAACCTGAAAAAAGAACTCTGGTCAGAGGAGAGAGCCCTTGATTACATTCAGAAAGCTGAATGCAATTCTCCACACCATTCCTCATACACTTTCAGATTTCATACAGGCACCTTGCAGCTCTGCTGAATGCTTTGATCTGATTCTCAGATTGCCCAAAATCACAGTCCTGAGCTGTAGAGGAAGAAAACTGCAGCCACAGTGGTACAAAAGGGGCAAAGCAGCAGCTTTGCTGCTCTTCACAGAAGGGGCAGAATCCAGGCCAGTCTGCCTGCATTGCTTGGCAAGAACTGCTACAGCTCATGTTATGAAGTCTTTTGGCCCTAAGTGGATTTCAGGCCTTGATTTATGTGGCATTAAAAGAAAAAACAAGAATCGATATCAATTTGTAGAACAGCTCTATCTTAGTGCATTCTTTGTTTTATGTGCCACCCACACAACAAAAAAAAGGGGAGGAATATACAGCAGTTTAATTGTGTAAAATTTCCTAAAATGGCTTCTTGTGCTCTTCTTTTGGTTTGTGGTGAGACTGCCTCTTTAACATTCTGTTTGTAGAATCAGGGCTTCACTGACCTGCTAAAAAAGGATTTACTATCCTGTTCCATCCAAATGTGGGTGTTTGTGCCATATGGGATGTGTCAGGCCATCCCCAGCAGGTTCACAAGAGGTTCTGAGCTTAAGCCAGTGTAGTACCCAGGCTTTCCAAGTCCATCCTAAACACACAGTAAAGAGATGGACTGAAGAAGGTGAAGGGGGATGTCCCCTCTTACATGGCAATTTAGGTGTTCTGGTGACAAGTATAGGAAACAGAACTAAAGAGATAAAGAACTAAGAGATTAAAAACTGCTGCTATGGATTTCTGCAGAGACCTTGGGGTCTGTCCACCAAATAAAAGGAAACTTTTTATTCAATTTGGAATTATATTTCCATAGGCAGATGAAATATTTAATTTCAGTCGTTACATTTCTTTTCCTCAACACACACTTTTTTCTTTTCCCTCCTTAAACTCTTGATGAATACTGTTCATCCAAAAATAATCCTCCAGTGATGATTTCTTTCAGGAGCACTTCTGTTTTCAGCCTATAGAAACAATTTTATCTTCTTGCTGTTACGGCAGTGACAGATGATATTTTCTTTTTCTCTGCATTTAGACACCTTATATTACCCAGCTCACTGAGGTAAAAAAGACCCTTCATATGTTGAAGCTTCGAAACCCTTGATGTGCTTAGAAAAGGCATTACATTATTTATTGTCATTTTCCCCTCATTTTTTATCATTACAACTGTAATCACTTTTTGCATAAGGTTATTTCTGAAAGCTATAAAAGGAAGAAAAAAAATGGCCCATTTTGCTTGAGACCAGAGAGGCTGTTTTCTGATGAATTTTTGTATTGAAACTGCTGTGCTTGGATTGCTTCTGCACTACGAGACAGCTGAGCTCTATGTATGATGTATCAGAGGGGATAAACAATGCACACTGAAAATGAGATCCTGAATTCTGAAGATGGGACTTGGGGAACCCGAGAGAACAAAGAGAGCTTGTCAGTATGGTAGTTAAGGGGCCTGGGGTTTTTCCTCATGCACACACAGAGGTTATTTGTTTAAAATTCCATGTATATATGAATTTTGTGGGTGCTGAATTTTTGGTGCCGCCATTTTCTAAACTGCCGTCCTGAGTCATGTTGCCTTATTTTGGAAAGGATGGACTTGGGGGTGAGGGGGTTTGAGTCCCCACTACCATGAGAGTGACAATCTCACCATCCCAAAGCAAATGCACTAGGTAGGTTTTGCCGCCAAATCCCTGGGAAGTGTTTTCCCTGTGTAAAACACTAAGTGTTTGCTGTTTCAGATATTTTCCTCAGGTCGGGGGACCATTTTGCCCCTCAGATGAGGCTGAGGGACCTGCGTGTGCCACACCCACCTCCCCTCACAGCGCCCGCAGCCCCCGTCCGCTTCCCAAAGCACTTAGGGCAGTTTGCACTGCAAATATTTGGGGAATTGAGCCTGGTCCTTGGACCAGGAGGCTTTTTCCACGACTTGCCAAGGGCCTTGGCAGCTGGGCTGTAATTTTTCCCCTCAGAGTTGTGAGGAGAGGTGCGCTGGGAACGTGCCGGTGAGGGCGGTCAATGGCGGCTGGGCTGCCTCAGGTGAGTTCGGGCTGTTCTGGGACATCGGTGTTTGATAACATGTGTTAGTTTCTGTTTTCATGGTAGTTAAAATGTAAATATTTATTTTTAACCCCCTGAACACACTTAGTGGGTTGCTGAGGGGGTTTGTGTAAAAAACAAAACAAAACAAACAAACAAAACCCAAACCAGCATAGGTGTGACTTGCATATTTAGAAAAGCGCTGGTAAATATGGAATGACTTCAGAGAAATTTGTCTTCAGCAAAACTAGAAGTATTGTATAGAAAAGCTAATGTGTGTCTCTGTGTGTCAGTGCTTTCTTCCCTTAAGTTATTTATTATTGCCGCTACTGTTTTTAATCTTACCCATTGAAGTTCTTTCTTTTGTACATGTTCTGGGTAGAGCACTGGATTATTTGTTTTCTGTATTTTATTTTCACAATACTGTGTGGCACAGTGATATTGGTAAAACCTTGTTTTATCCCTTTACAGTGTTCTTGACTCAAGGTAACCTTGACATTCACTTTCTGGGATGTGATTCATTTTTGAAAGTTAAATGGCTTTGTTAATTAACAAACAATTTAGGCTTCTTTCCCAAAATTGGTGACATCAGCCTTTTTGCTGTTGGGGGATCTAAAATGAGAGTGACCCAATTGCTGTTTCCCTGAACTAATTTAGAAAGGGAACTTGAAGTGCCGTGAGGCAAACTTTGGTTTATTGCGGTATTTTATGTATCCCATTATCTTCTTCAGTTGTCTTACCAATGCAGGGGCGAAATGGTGGCAAGCCTTGGATTCTTGTTCATGTTTTAAATAAGGCAAATAAAACCTTTTGAAAGATAAGTGTGGTCGATACTTTGCACAAGCCTAGCTCTGCTATGCTTCAGGTATTCCTTTGAGTTCCTGTTCCTGAAAATGAAAGAATCACTCTATGTCAGATGCAGAGGGAATTTCCTGTCTGGAAAGGGAAAAAAAAAAAAAAACAAAAACAACCCACCTTAATTAAACTTCCTGCTGAAAGAAAGTCTGTAGGGAGTCAGAGGAGATTTTCTGAAATTGCCAGATGTGGAATTTGAATTTTGGGTACTTATTCATAGAAATCATTGGGGTTTTGTGGAGTTTTTGTGTGCTCTTTCCCTTACACCCTCCTCTCTCCTTTAATTAGTGTCATATTTATCATCCTCGTTGGTTCTAAAGTGGTGTGATTCCACCCTGAATTAAGTGTCACAGTGGCTTCCCACCTGTGTGTGCTGTTCAAGGAGTGTCATAATGGACTGGGACAGAAAATGAGTAGCTGGAGGTTTAGGATCAGTCAGTAAAATAAGGCAGGGATACCTTGTTACTCTTTTTGTAAAGATAGTTAGATTTATTTATTTTTTTTTATTTTGTGGGAGTGGGGTGTAAAAGGAAGTACCAAAAAATCAGGTGAGGGAGATGTATGAGGTACTGTCCTAAGAAATTACTGAAAGTTGCTCACTTGCTGTGTGTAGTAGTTATTGGCACAGGCTGGCATTTAATGACAGTCAAACTGTTTTTCCACATCCAAAGATTCCCTTAAAAAGAAAAAAGGTGGGATGGTTGGGGTGATTCATCTGTAGATCTTTGCTCCCTCCCTCCCTCTTTCCCTTTCTCTCTCCCCTTTCCCTCCAGCCATACAACTGCAGCTCTTTATTTAGTGTCTGCTCCACATGTGTTACATTGAGACGAGCTCTGATAAACCGCTTAACCTCCTTTCACTAAAAGCCCTTTGCAAATAAGTAACACATTTCCAAATAAGTAAAACAACCTTTTGGGCACAGTTCACCTTCAGGGTTGAGGTCCAAGTGTGGTCATGTGGGCGCTCCTGCTTGGCTCTGAGCACAGCGGCCCAATTCCTCCCACAATTTCCATCTGTGGGTATTTAGGAGCCCATGTCTGTACAGTGCATATGTGGGCATGCCAAACCTACCTGATAAAGTGCTAGATGTTGTCAATCTTCATCCATAAGCAGCATTAGATGGAACTAATTCCTGATGTAGGGGTTGGTGCTGTGAAGGTGCCCAGTTGTGCCATGAAATGGCCCAGCCATTGGTAGCACACAGGGAGTTCCTCCTGTTCCTTTGGTCCCTTTCTGGTTTTATTTCCCTGCTACAAATCATTTCTCCAAATTATGTTTTTGAAGTGCACTCCAGGCGGCTTTTTATGTTTCCCATAGTTTTAATTTAGTAATTTACCAAGTCAGAAACCTCATGCTGAAATCCGGCCTTTCAGCCTGAAGCCCCTAATCTTCTGTAACTGTTTGGTTGAACTCAGCAATTACTGAAAATAACCTCTGTAATTTTCCAACATCTTCCCCTCGCAGTGATTTCCCAATGTGCTTGTCAGATGTGCAGTTTTACTATGAAGTTATGTAAATCAAGCTAAATGGACATTTGTCCACTTTATAGTTACTCTTAAGTAGTGATAGTAAAGAAGCCTAATTAGCTGGTGTAAGGCACAAGGGGATGGTTTCAAAGTTGCTAAACTGGTGGAGATACAAAATAGAATTCTGGTTACACAAGGTTGACAGTAAATCACTTATTAATCTTAAAACAGTGTTTGACCCAAATTTATTAAATAATTTTTTCAAACCCATGGAAGTAAATGAGATTTCGGGATCAGCCAGTGTTGGTGATTATTTGATTTCACGGGAAGTAAAAAACCTGAGGCTTAGTAAACATTTGGATTTTTGTTTTTCTTTCTAGTGAAACAATGAATGTGAAGTCAAGCAATGTGAATTGTTTGTAAGTCCCTCTGGAAAAGTTTAAAACATGTAACCTCGAGCTAGAAAAGAAAATGCATCTTGTGTTAATCAGGCAGAACAAGCAATAGGAAAATAGGAGACTGGATGGAAACATTTGACTAATCTCAGCCATGTGGGAAGTGAATATTGCATACATTTATACTAATTAACCAGCTTCCTGAATTACTGTGAGTTGTCTTATTGTTGCCACTGTAACTCAAAAGTTTCAAGGTGCTAACAGGCAACACAAAAGAAGGTTTCTTTCCACACACTGTGTATCCGTGAGCATGAACCCTTCCCTCTCTCCAGGAAAAATAAATTAAAAATTGTTAATACAATGAGAAGAGGGAACAATCCCAGAGGTATTTGTGGATCGATGTTTTGTTGAGCTAAAGAAAATAAGAGGTTTGATGTTCCCAGAGGTACAAATGGTATAAACTGATGTGTAAAGAAAGAATTTCCTCTACAAGAAGCACTTGAAGCACTACCATGAATTCACAACTGCTTTTGCAGTTGAGTTACAGGTCAGGTCAAGCATCTTCTGAGCAGTGTCTTCTGCTTTATGGCTTTCCCAAGGACTGGGAAACAAAGTTGGCATTGGGGCAGAATTATACTTGTGAACAGGGATTGAGGGTACTCACTGCATACAGGGAAATCTTTGCTCCAAATGAGTTAGTTCCCAAAGGGAGAGGGGAAAAAAAAAAGGAAAAATAAGTTTAAACCTTCTAAAACACAAGGGATGATGGTTAAGAAAATGTCTCTGGGTGAACAAGGTGTTATTGTAAAATATAACCTGACAGCAGCTGTTAAAATGACCTAAAATTGTGCAGCTGTACTGAAGTTCCAAGTGTCAAGTCAGAACTTCTGGTTTATTTCCAATTTGAGTTCTTGTGCTTTACCTTATAACTGCGTGAAAGTCTTACTGAGAAGAGCAGGGCCCAGATGTTGCTGCTGATTGTTGTGTTTTATTGTTGTGCAGGAGGGAAATAGTACCTGAATTATGATAGAAAACTGTGGAGACAAGTGCAAGCATCAAGATTGGATTTAAATGATGTTGCTACAAGTGTGATGCATTTTTCTCTTTCCATAACCCCTCTATTCCCTAAACCCCCTGCAAGGCTTCTGGTGCAATATCCTGCAGTCTCTGTACAATCCAACTTTCCTGAAGTCAGAAAGACATTTATAGTTGTGTACTTTTATCACTCAGCAATGTAAAAACTGTCTCCCAGCAAGAAAACAAAAGACTGCTTGGTCTCAAAGAAAGCAAAGAGACTCTGAGCACAGTTCCAGGTAGATCTCAGACACTGCGGATTCCCAGAAGTGCTTCTCTGTTTTGTCTCTTGGAATCACAGAATGCTTTAAGTGATAGATTCCTAGAGGCCTCCATTCCAACTCTGTGCTGAAATCAGGGCCAGCTTTCAGGTCAGTCACATTGCTCAGGGCCTTGGCCAGCAGAATTTCGGGGGATCCCATGGCTTCTCTGAGCCCCTGTCTCTGAGCTTTGTGGTGAAAGACCTTTCTTCCTCTAATCGGAGTTTTCTGTGCCCCAATCTTGCATTGAACTTGCTAATAAATACTATCTTGTCTGTACAGGCAAGACAAAAACGATTCTTCCCCTTCCCTGGTGACTCACTGATGTGGTTTGACACAAGATGCTGTACACTCGGCTCTATTTATACACCAACTGACAGGTATGATGCAAATGGGATAAATATAGGGAATTCTGGCTCCCGAGAGAGACTAGAGATGATGGGAACCAATTTGGAGTGATTTCCATTTTGTTTGTACCAGGCTTGTCCTCAGTCCCTCCTACTGGATCTGTTAATGCACTTTTAATCATAACGTGTTTTCAGATAGTTTACAAAGTGGCCCCACTGTGAGAATCATAACTTGC